GCAGACTGAGAGGAGCTCTGCAGACGGAGGAGAGGAGCTCTGCAGACGGAGGACAGGAGCTCTGCAGACGGAGGACAGGAGCTCTGCAGACGGAGGACAGGAGCTCTGCAGACGGAGGAGAAGAGCTCTGCAGACGGAGGACAGGAGCTCTGCAGACGGAGGAGAGGAGCTCTGCTTTGGTTTGATTGGGTTTTCACACAGACATCAGCAGACAAACACTATGAATGATGGAGTTTATTAAAATCAAACCAACAAATCACAAACAGTTGTTTCAACATGTCCGTTAATCATGTGACCAAGTTTTTATTGATAAATATTCCTGCAGCTGAGATCCAGAACATAAAACCTCCCATTCAGAGCAGTTCCACTTCATCAGAACTACAAACAGATTTGATTAGATCAGCTGACACAAACTGTGTCYTGTCCATGTCTGAGTGTCCAAATGAAGCCAACAGTTTTACTTCTAATGGCATTTCACCATGATGCTCCGCTTGACCTATATTTAAACCTTTATTATAAATTAAAACTTAAAAACACAAAGCAGCTCAGTCAGAGCAGAGCAGATCCACACAGAAAACAAAAAAAACATTCTGACAAACTTCTGGGTYAAAAACATCTGACTGAACCTGTTTGCTTCAAACAAACACAAAATCTGAATCTGAACACACTGTGTGACTCAGCAAATTATCTGCTGTGTCATGCTGACCCCACCAGCTCATGTCAGCTCAGTGAGCAGAAACATTCTCAGCAGTTCTTCATAGAAAACCACAGGAAGGTCACGTCCCAAACATGTCTTCACTTTCAACTGCATGGACACACAGGACAGGAGCTGGAGGACAGGAGGACAGGAGGACAGGAGCTGGAGGACAGGAGGACAGGAGGACAGGAGCTGGAGGACAGGAGGTGGAGGACAGGAGGACAGGAGCTGGAGGACAGGAGCTGGAGGACAGGAGGACAGGAGCTGGAGGACAGGAGCTGGAGGACAGGAGGACAGGAGCTGGAGGACAGGAGGACAGGAGGACAGGAGCTGGAGGACAGGAGGACAGGAGGACAGGAGCTGGAGGACAGGAGCTGGAGGACAGGAGGACAGGAGCTGGAGGACAGGAGCTGGAGGACAGGAGGACA